TATATATATATATATATATATATATATATATATATATATATATAAAAAAAAATTTCGGATTTCATTTATCAAACTATCAATTTCCATCTTGTCTATTCTCATTTACCTATTTTCACCGTTTTATTTTTCGACTCTCATTTTTCGTGAGTAATATTTATCACTTGTCGACCACCGTTAATTATCTTGCATTTTGAATTTTACTTATTATCAAAGTTAAATATAATTAATTGTACTTTTATTGTTCATGTTATATCATTTGTAGAGATTTTTTAAAATATTGTATTATAGCATTGAGATTATTTCGTAAAAATATACAAGCAAAATGTTATGAAAGTTAAAAAATATTAAACTTTTTGTATGTTAATGGGTCTAGCGGGTCAGAACCGTTTGATTAGGGTCAGGGTTGGGGCGAGTGTTGGGTTTATATATTTTTCGTGGGTCGGATCTTCGTTTAGCTAAACCCGGTCCAGAACTGACCCGTTGCCATCCCTAGACAAAGCCATCCTGGCCCTACGTTGACTTCCCATTGATTTGTATACTGTAACACTTTAGGGAAGTTTTCTAACTTTAGCTGTACACACCCATTATATTATCATGTCGTACGTTTATTTATTTAAATTTGCACTCTTGATCTGTGTGGAAGTCACCGGAAGTTAACTAAGGTTGTCAATTGTAAGTAGATTTCAACAATGATTCTATTCGAATCTGAGAAAAACGTAAAACACGAAAAATCTAATTGTTAGAATATTATATTATAGAAATCTTGTAATATTAGAATGGGCACCCCTGTGTAATCTCGAATTGCTGAAAAACCCCTCGTGTTAAAAATATTAGCACAAAACCCCCTGTGAAAAATAGTCAAAGCCAAAAAAGACCCTACGAGCTCGATGTGTTATACACTTGCGCTTTGTGCGACTGGGCCTCGTGTTTAGGAACTAGAAAGACCTAAATACCCTTCAAATAAATTTTTGAAATTTATAAATTTACCCAAAATATTTTTCATAAGCTCAAAATGAAGTTTCAGAATATTGAATTCAATCCCCACTAATTTCAGAAAAGCCCTCTCTCCAAATTGCATAGAACCAAATTGCAATTTTCATAATTTCTCAAAACTTCATCATCTTCTTCCCCTCTCCTTCACATCTGCTGCTCGCCAAATAAAAAAAAATAAAACAAACAAAAACCACCGATTCATCTTCATAATAACCTGCCCATTTGCAAAAGAAGAAAAAACAACAAAAGTTGCTTCCTCCATCTAAACCCGCAGGAAGAAAAAAGCACTTCAAGCACAAAAAACACAGGCCCCAGTACAATACACACACGCACAAAACGTACCTCGATCCAACATCTTGATTTACAAGAGATATGAAAGAACCCATCAAACATAAAGCATATCTTTTTTTGGGGTGGGAAAGCAGGTGGGGATGCGGCGGTGGTGCGGCCATGGTGTTGGTGATGCGGCGGTGGTGCAGACGTGGTGGTGGTGATGCGGCGGTGGTGATGCGGCTGTGGTGGTGGTGCGGACGTGGTGGTGGTGATGCGGCGGTGGTGCGGCCGTGGTGGTGGTGATGCGGCCGTGGTGCGGACGTGGTGGTGGTGATGCGGCGGCGGAGGGCTCGATGGAAGAATTGGGTTGCGGCAGTGGTGCGGACGTGGTGGTGGTGATGCGGCGGACGGCTTATGGAAGAATTGGGTTTCTTTTTCTTTCTTTTTAATCTTTTTGCAGTTTATTTATTTAATTGAAACATAAATTATTAAAAAATATGAGGGTTATTTAGTCATTTCATAAAAGTCAACTGCTAATTTCGAAATAAGGACTAGTGTGCGTTGTCAAAAATAATATAGCGGGGTCTATGCTAATATTTTTAGCATGAGGGGTTTTTTAACCATTCAAAATTTCACAGGGGGTCTATGCAATTAGCTCTATTAGAATTCTAGTATGTTTGACTAGCTAACAAAATCCTAACTAATCTAGGTAACTCAATCATACTAGAATTCTAATATTACAAGAGTTCTATGATATAATATTCTCTAATGCAACCATTAAAATGGGCATGATGAGCACCGCGGTTTGCACCGTGCGGCCTACACTAGTGTGTGTATATATATATATATATATATATATATGTGTGTCGAAATTTTTTCTCTATGTTGTCAGACATTTGACCTTAACACCATTTGGCATAAGCTCTGAAATTACAAAAATGCCACCTCTCTCAGTTTAAATAATTATTAAAAAAAAATAAAATAAAAATTCAAGACAACGAGAAAACATAGTCAACAATGACAACTACAATTTATTTTTATAATTTTTTATTAATTATTTAAACTTACAAGAGTGGTTTTTTTTTTTTTGTAATATTCAAACCTTAGATCAAATGGTGTTAAGGTCAAAGACCTGAAAACTAACGGCGACGGCCACATTGAAATAATTTTTCAAGTACAAAGGGACAAATTGATGCAATCGAAAGTAGAAAGGGTAACGTGATATCGAACCAATGTACAATAGGAAAAGGAGAATTTACTCTTAGAATAAATAAACAAACTTGCAACAGATTGATCAACTCGTTGCCGCAATTATGAAACTTTTGATACAAAATAGTCCAAAGATAGAAATCTCTCGTCCATCAATTGAACTTAAAAAAATCAAAATCAAGAATCAAAAATTTTTCCGGAGAATTTAATCATCAAACAGACAATTTCATTCACCACACCCGCCGCCACACCCGCCGCCACAACCTCCGCTGCCAGAACAAGAACCAGCTGACACGGCAGCTACCGCTCCACCGGCAGCAACCCCACCCAAAACCACCATACCTCCATCCTTACCGCCTCTTTCGTCAGTAGTACGAGCTTCAGACGGCGGAGGTGCAGCTGCAGTACTCCCCCGTGGCGGCCGTGAGACCACGGGACGGGGCGGCGGTTGGGCTCTCCGTCGACCTTTTAGATAATAGAGAGAGAAGAGACAATAGAGAAATCCCGTGCAAAAAAAGCACCGAACACAACACAGAAACCTATGGTTTTGGTGTCCATTTTCTCAAAATATATGATGTTTCTTTTATGTAATAATAATAATGAGGCTCATTTACAAAGTCCTTTCGGTTGAGAATTGAGAGTTTACCACCATATTTGAAACTGCTACCCCTCTCCGCCGCGGTAACGTGTTGCCATGACTTGACAGGGGTGGACCTGGTAAGAGACCGAGGTGGCCCCAGCCCTCGCGAAAAAAAAAAAACATTTTTTTATTAGGGTAAATTCCACTTTTCCCTTGTACTTTGACTCGGTAACACTTTACTCCATTTTACTTTCGATTGCATCAATTTGGCCTCATGTACTTAAAAAATTATCTCAATGTGACCCTCGCGGATAGTTGTCAGACATTTGACATTAGCGTTGTTTGATCTAAGATCTAATTAATTGAATTAATTATGTTTCATTAATCTGTCTCATGGGACAAAACGTTAATATAGATGTGGAGCAATGGGAGATTTTGCAATGTAAGGCACAGAGTGCAAAGCAAAGAAGCATCACTAAGAATTTCAATAGCTTTATTTGTTTTGAGACCAAAGGATGGAGTGGTGGAGCCGCCATCAGGGCTGGTGGATACCGCCACGCACCCCGCCTCTATGTCCCTTTCACCATCGAAGATTACAGAAAGCTAAGGGGATGTTTGGTTATGTTTCCAAAATGAATTTCTAGTTTTCAAAATTTCTGATGGAAAAAGTAGATTATTGGTTTTTGTGTAGAAAATGGGAATATGTTTGGATGAAGGTGTATTTTTAGTTTTATATAGGTGTAGAAATGAGAATATGTTTGGTTGTGGTGAATTTTCTCTACGAAAGTATGTGCAAAAGTAGAATATAATGATTGATGATGATGATAGTGATGATGATGATGATTATTATAATAATAATAATAATAATAATAATAATTATTATTATTATTATTATTATTATTATTATTATTATTATTATTATTATTATTATTATTATTATTATTATTATTATTATTATTATTATTAGGGTAAATTACAAACACCCCCTGAGGTATGGTCAAATTACAAAACACCCCCTCTTGATTGGATAATTACATCTACCCCCTCAACTATGATTTTTTCTTACACCTCCACCCTTATTGTGCCAAATTCAACATAGAGAGGAAAGAGAGTGTAGATATTAATGAGGAGAGGGAAATGAGTTGATGGAATAAAATATATAGGTTAGTAGTAGGTTTTAGTAGGTTTGAAAATTGAAAAAAATATGAATAGTGTATTTTCAATAGAAATTTGATAGGAAAAAATGGGATTTTCTGGATAAAATTGTGAAACAAACATGATCTCGGTTTTATGAATAGTATAGAACTGGAAATTGGTTTTGGAAATAAAACCAAACATCCCCTAAGCGTTTCCACCGGATTGCGTGCCGGTGAAGCCTTGCACAATTAGACGTAAAAGAAGATTCATTGCTTAAGCGAAAATAATATTGTCTCATATTATTTTATAACACATGATATTACCATTTACCAATGCAATAGTAGTTACTAATTCATAAACATAATTAATAAAAAAAAACTATAGGTTTATTATAATGCGATTAACAACTTTGTTCGTTTTGTTTATCATTTTATTACATTTATTAATTTTCACGAACTTTTGGCGAGAAAAAGTTGGAGGGCTCCTCCAATGGGCGATTGTGTGGAACTTCTTAGCTTTCTGTAGTCTTCGAAATCGAGAGGGATGTAGCGGCGTGGGTGGTCGGAATCCACCAGCTGTGGCGGCGCTTCCACTTTCACATCTTTAGGAGCCAATACGAAAAGTGCAATGGAGACTCGTACTTTTGGCTCGTAACACTGAACTCGATGCTTCACATTGCAAAATCTTCCATTGCTCCACACCTTCAAATCAAATTCCATGATCAAATAAAAATACCATAATTTTCTAAATTAGAAAAAAGAAAAAAAAATAATAAATAAATAAATATATATATATATATATATATATATATACAGTGGCGGATCCAGGATTTTTGCCAAGGGGGTGCTAAATTGTAGAATAAAAAATTTAAATATCACTTTATAAAAATAGTGGACCAAAAATTTACAATTTAAAAATTTTAGGTGAATTGTGTAAATATTTAAAGAGAAAAAGGGTGAAAAATGTAAAGATTTGAAAAAAAATCAACTTTTTCGAGGCTGGGGTTCGAACCCGGGACCAATTAACAAAAGGAGGAATACCTTTACCAACTCATCCAACTACTTTTCTTGTAAACTTATGTATAACGGTATTATTTGTTTAAAATCAAGGGTGTGCAACTGCAGACCCTAGACCATGGCTAGATCCGCCACTGTATATATATATATATATATATATATATATATATATATACACCTTAGCCACATCTCCAAGATTAACAACAAAAGCTCCTGGGATTGGATCAATCGACACTAACTCTCCGGTAATCTCGTCCACTAACTCAAGACCACGCACAATCTCATCATCTTGAAGAATGGTGAGAAATCCGGGGTCTGTATGAATAAGTGCACCAGTTAAACCCACAGTTTCAGGGGCAAAATTGTACTTATTCATCTTCAACTGACACACCCATTCTTTGAATACTTCACCACCTAACCCCAACCCTTCCATCATCTTACATCCTATTAGGTGTGCAAGATCATAAACAGCTAAACCATACTTTTCCAAGATCTCCCTGCAAAGAAAATTACATATACAATTAATTAAAATAATCAATCATATATACTTAAAAAGAATTAATTAAACGCTAGTCCGAAACTCGTTAATTTTTTTCGATCTTTATGCTATCACCATTAATTATATTATCAACTCTTAAGTTTCACAACTAGTTCGATTTTGTTCAAAAGAAAAAATGTACGTCTCGTTTCGTGTGAAGGGTAATTTTGAATTTCATGCAAAAATTTGATTAGTTTTTTTTTTCGGTGAATCTTTATATGTAAACCTTAAATGATCTATCCAATAAGAAAAGAACTTATGAAGTTCTTAAGTCAATGCAGAATCAATTTTCATTTAATCAAATTTACCTTTTCTCCAACTCGTAGTTTTTTTCACAGCTAATAACGATAATTTTGTTCGAATATTAATATTCTTGTATGGACGTTAGTGAATTGATCTCGAGTGTTTTTTTGTCGTAAATGGAGACTATCTGATATGTTTCTTATATATAATCTATATATGTGCCGAAATCTTAAACAACTATACAAGAAAGTACTTAAAATTAGAATCAAATGATTTAAAAATTTGAGATATAGAATCACCTTTGGTGAGAAGATGCATCAATTTGTGAGCAAAAATCAAGAAGAGCTAGAGGCGAGGCCACGTCATACAAACTGAGGCCCTCGTAATACGGACTAGCCATGTTAGGTGGTACGTACCCTTTGCCCGAGTCGGGATGATAATTCTTCCGCTTAATTTCCATTGGAAGATCCATCAAAGATCGAGTTACGGCCTTCATTTCCGACATAAGTTCAATCGGAACACCATGGTTAATAAGCCTAAACGAACCCCATTCCTCAAATGCTTTCACTATTTTCTCAGGTACATTGGCTAAATCTTGCATGTCGATTATAGGAACTGATTTTTTCGCCATGTGAGGTATCTATCCTTCTTCCCTCTTCTTCTTTATTTATTTATTTATTATTATTATTTTTTTTTTAATTTATTTATGGTTTTTGCTGATCTCTCTTTCTATGAAGTTATATTTATTTTATATATCCTGCCTAGTCCTGGAATCCTGTTACACATCCACATTCTTTACCTAATTTAATTAGTTCATATGTTTTCATTTCAGTTCTTGCAGTTCATTCGTCGCGTGCTCTTTTTCCCCGATATGGCGTATGTCCTAGTCATATTAGACGTGTAGAGTGAGCATTTTTTTACCGAAAAATAAAATAGTATTTTTTTTAATAATAAACAAAAAATAATTAATTTGGTTTTTTCCGGCAGCGGGTCGGCGGAGCTCCAGTTAACTAACTCAACATTAGTTAATTTCAACATTTTTTTTAATTATATTTATTATTATTTTTTTGTGATAAGTTAATTATATGTACATTTCAACATATCAGTTAATTGGGATTATTTTGTAGACCCCCTCATTTCCAAGTGGATTACACTCTAGGCAATACCCTCCTCATTTCGAAAATATTTTGACATACCCCCTGGGCTACCTGAAGTCCTTATTATACTCTTTTAAAATCAGTTTTAAACCCTAGCCCAACACATTTCGGTCTCTCTCTTTCTCTCCCAGATTCAAAATTCCGCCTCCACAAACCTCCCACCGGTGAAATTGCTTCCCGGAGTCATAACTCTCTCTCCGGTGGTCGGAATTCGATGGTTCAACTACCGTTGGATTCCTCTCGTAGAGCTCTTTCGTTTTGTGGTGATTTCATTCAGTTTGGAGCGCTGATCTGTTTCTGCAATTTTTTTTCATTCGACGACGGTGGTCTCGCCGGAGCTTTGTTTTGTGTTCCACCGTCGAAATTTGACGGGCTACCCACCGTTGGATTCCTCTCGTCGAGATCTATATTTTGATGGTAACTTCGTTTATTTTTATGTTTTCTGATTTATTTAAATATTTTGTTTTTGAATTTGTGGGCGCGCGGAACTGTGTGTGGTTATTAGCGGCGTCGATGGTTTTGGTAGGAGGCGAGGGGGGTGAAGAGTCACTATCTGTTAATTTAAAATCTGTAGCATTTTTCAGCAATAACCTCTCTCTCTATCTCTCGATCTCTTAGTGTTTGTTGATTTTTGAGTGTTTTGATGTTTCTTCAAATTTTGTTGATTTGCACTAAAGTAAATTTTTTTTTTGTTTTGATTTTATTTTTGTTTGAAGTTACAACTTCATTTTTTAACGGACTGTATACATTACTGTACATTACTATACATTACTATAGTAACATGTAATTACATATGCGTATATTTGTGTATTTTCGATTTGTATTTTATTGGTTCTGAGGTGATTTATAATAAAAATGTTGAAATTGTAAATTTTTGTTGGGATTTTATGAATTTCCTTTGTATAAGCCAATATTCGTGTGTGTATACAATTGATCGACAAAAAATATGGGGGAAAAAAATGAACATAACTACGAATTACCATAGGTACTATAGTTACATGTAGTTATTTTCAGTATAGTAAACATATTGTTTTGAAAATTAAAAAAAATATATATATTTTTTAATATTAAAAAAAAAATGATAAATATATATATATATATATATATATATATATTATATATATATATATATAAATTCAACAAACAGGTTTATTATTAAAAAAAAATAATAATAATAATAATAAATAAATCAGCGAAAATGATAAATGCAGGACCAGAAATGCTGAATGCAGTTTGGCCGAAAATTGCATATAAGAGTAGTATAATACTTTTGCTTCTCCAGGGGTATGTCAAAGGATGATTTGGGCTTGGGTTTATCCCTAGTTTATTTGGTGCCTAGGGGTATGTAAAATAACCCCTAATTAATTTTATTTAATATTAGTTAATAATTTCAACATATTAGTTCATTTCAACAATATTTAATATTTATACACAAAATACACATTTCACACTCAAAATATGCACATAAACTGCAGTCTGCTCACGAAATATATGCACACACAGCACAAACAAAAAACGCAGGCACACAAATTATTTGGATTTGTCCCAAAAAGGGCGAAAACAATCCACAAGGAAAAAGTCGAGACGACCATCGCATTTGTACTTGCACAGATTTTGTTCTAGAGCTCTTTCCTTCAAAATCTCGATTAATTTCTAATAACTTTCTCCCCAACTGAAACAGAAAATTCAAAACGGAAACGGAAGCTTTGTTAATATACGTGCAATTGAATTATCTTTGGCTAAACTGAGAAGGACTCGGCATGTGAGAGCCGAAGAAGAATCTTTGTACCGTTATTTGCGCGTATATATACAATAGCCTTGTTCCATGTCGTCTATTGCCCGATCATTAATACAGTCTTCCGGAATGAATGGAGGAGGGCAAACCAGATTTACCAACATATGCAATGCTGGTGGCTCCACAATCTCCGGTTCAAAATTAGCAGGTGTATTTATTACATCCAAAATTACAGTTATACCAGCTCCTGGTCGGCCATTGCTTAATTTTGCATTTACAATATCTTCGAGGATATATTGAAGAGAACCTTGTAGAAGACGTGTTAATTGTGAGGCCTACAAAACAAATAAATATATTAGGGAAACATGAGATATATGCAAAAATAGAAATTTCAACGTACGATAAATTTGTTTATATTTTCACGCTCGACAACTCTTTGGACAACGTTTGAAGGAAGAGCGCACACGTATCGTAATTGCACCCTGAACTGAAACAATTGTGACAGCAAACTTCCTTGGCACCATTTTTCTAACTAATTATATGTACTTAAAACACACATTTCATACTCAAATTATGCACATACACTCCATGGGAAAGAAATGCGCACACATTTCGCACATACAATGCACTCCCCTAGATTTGAGTGTGAAGAATATTTGGATTTATCCGAAAAGAATCCACAAGGAGCACGTCGAGTTGGCCACTGAATCTGCACTTGCAAAGATTTCGGTCCAGACTGACGATCTTTGATCAATTTGCGAATGCTACACAAACAATTATTCTCAACAGAAAATGACACACAATTGAGCCAACAGATTCATACCAGTCCTTACAAGCAATTATTAGTGCAACTCTAGTGAAATCTATGTTCAACCCTCAAACGTACGAATTGTGAATAAGAGCAAAGAGAGACTGAAAAACGTTCACGTATTTCTTGGAGCGTCAACAAGTCTCTGCATGCCACCATTAGTTAACTCTAAATATTGGTAGACATTTTTTTTTCGGTGGTTGGTTGTCAGATCTCCGGTTAATTAGCTCACTCACTATTAGTTAACTTCAACATTAGTTAACTTAAATATTAACATTAAAACTATCGGGTGTCAACTAAGGCTTAGTCAGCTAATCAGAGCCCTATGTACCCATCGCCGAAAAAAAGAATTAAAAGGAAAATTTAAAAAAATGGTCGGATGTTAGCTAATTCAAAGTGAAGTAATGCATAGTCACCAAATCAGAACTTTGACGCCCCGTTGCCTGAAAAAAAAAATTAAAAGAAAAGAAGTTGGACGTCAGCTAATATTGAAGGTAGCTAATACGTAGTCTACTAATGCAAGTCAACTAAATAGAGCTTCGACGACCCGCCACCGGAAAAAAAAATTAAGATAAAAAAATGAATGTCAACTAATTGAAATTAACTAATGCTAAGTCTGCTAACCGGAGCTCCGACCACCCAGGCTACCAAAAAGAAAAAAGAAATTAATTATTTTTTTTTAAATAAATAAATAAAAATAATAATAATCAAAATAAAATAAGATAAAACAAGCTCCGATTAGGGTTTGAAAGGGTAAAAAGGGTATAAGTTAATTATTTGAGTTTATATAAATTGAAACGTAGAACTAATAATGGGTTTTACTCAAAAACAAAAATATGCTTAGATATATCCCACATTATGTAAGCCAGGAGCATGTACATTGGACTCCTTAAAAGCACATTAGTGTCAGATTTTGTAGACTCTCCAAATTTTGGAGAGTAATAATGATGCAGTGACACTCAATAGCCCTCCATAGGCCTAGCTACATTTGGCCAGCCTTTAAATGGCTGGCCACAATTATTGAGCTCTCTACCAATAAAAGGTGGGACCAATACATTTTTTATTCCGTAAAAAAATATGCAGCCTGTTTCATTTGGTCCATTTTTTACAATATTTTTTTATATCATTTACCAAATCTTTTTTTTTTAACTTTAATTTATTTATATATTTAAATGATAATAGAAATATTATAAATTTTAACTACTAATTAAATTTAAAGTTATTTTTTTTGCTTATCGAAGCGAACAAACGAAAAACAATTTATTTAATAAATAAAATTCAATTTTATGTTATTTGTTAATTTCATATTCTTAATTATTTTTTATAATAATTAAATATTTTAACAAATTGTAATCAATAATAATAAAATGAAAGTAACTTTAAATTGAACATTAATAAAACCTATTACAATATAAACTACGATACAAAATTACAAAAATAAAGAAATTACAACTCAAATATGAAAATAAGACAACATAGAAAAATAATATTATTTAACCCTCCTCATCTCCAAAGATACTCCACAAATGATTCGTAAGATCGGATCGCAAGACTTCATTAGTTCCCCGATTGTGAATTCAACCAAGACGTGCTAAGATGTAAGACGCAAGAATTGATGGATCTCGACCATATTCGGGAGGAAAAATATTTTCTTCAGGTAAAGGTTCCCATAAGTCGTATTCAGTTTCCCGTTCATCTTCTATAATCATATTATGAAGGATAATGCAAGTTTTCATTATCTTACATAGATCTTCTTTTGACCAATATCGTACAAGTCCTTGTGTTATGCCCCACCTGATTTGTAAAACACCAAATGCACGTTCTACATCTTTTCGGACAACCTCTTGTTTTGTAGCAAATAATTTTTCTTTTGCAGTGGTCGGATAAGGAATGGTTTGAAAGAGAGTTGCATATTTTGGGTAAATACCATCGGTTAAGTAATATCCCATTGTATAAGAATGCCCATTCACTGTATAATTGATTGGAGGCATTCTGCCATATATGAATTTGTCGAATAATGGCGAATGATCTAAGACATTAATATCATTATTTGCACCCCCCATGCCAAAAAATGAATGCCAAATCCAAAGGTCATGGGATGCAACTGCTTCTAAAATTAGAGTTGGTTTGTGATGGTGAGCTCTGTATGTGCCGTGCCAACCAGTTGGACAATTTTTCCACTCCCAATGCATACAATCT